GGGGGGGGTGGACCAGCCCCCGGCCACCATTGGGTGACAGACAGGGTCCACCCTGGACAGGTCGCCAGTCTATCACAGGACTGACACACACTCACTGATACAGGCCGTTTAGAGTCACCAGTCAACCTAAGCTGCATGTCTTTGGACTGTGAGAGGAACCCGGAGAGAAGCCACACAGGCACAGGGAGAAAATGCAGACTCAGCATAGAAAGGCCAAAATCTTGGCCAGCTGCTTCTGTCTCTAGGATACTGATTTAACTGCAGCAGTGTTTCATTGCACCACAGCACTCTCACTGACTGCTAACAGAAATGCCACCAGAAAACATACTTGAAAATGTGCCTGCATTTACACATAATATCATCCTGGTGCCAGAAAACCTCTGAACACATCTGGTTTGGTTCAGTTCCCTTCTTGACACTGCAGAAACATGCAACAGAATTCCTTTCTTGACACTGCAGAAACATGCAACAGTTACCTGAGGTCAGGAAAACGGTTCCCCAGTTCTGCCATATGAATCTGGATGGCTGGGAGATCTTGGAGTTTCAGCACTTCTGCAATCATGGTCAGGACTTCTTTCAGCCAGTCCTCCTTTGATCCCTGAAATGTCAGAGCAGCTACGTCAGCTCAGTCTGAAGCAGTAACCTACACACCACATGTTGTAGGGAAGAGTTTATCTTAATGGGTCACTGTGGGGTTTCACACTGGGTTTTCCCCGGGCCACTTATATAGCATAGTTATATTATACAGTACTGAGACTGCAGGTACAGTATGTACTGCCCATGCTGACCCATTCACAGATAGGAAGTGTGACTAAGTTAAAGGCTTCACTGAGCTAAAAATAGTGTGGTATGCAAGAACTCAATACCTTCTACAGTCCTCACATTTCCCCCTATGTGGATTATTGGATAGTTTTAGTAGTTTTGATTTTGATTCTATAACCTTGTGACGTTTAGATGTTAAAACCACAAATGAAAACACAAATAGATGAGTCCTAGTAAACCAGCATCTTAACCAGATTTCTACCAAACTTGAGTCAAATTAAACCAGTTCAGATCTGGTGCCCAGTGGAGGATCTTGCTCCAGATTCTCACCATTTTGCTCATTAAATTGTGTAGACTCTCTGTGTTGTTTGTCACGACGGTGTAGGCCCTGTCCTGCTCCTCCTTGTCATTTAACTTGACTTGTGCTTTCAGGAGCCTCTTCACATATTCTGCTGCCACATCCACATGAAACTGGCCAACCAGACCCTGAAATGAGTCATCAAATCAGTAACATCAAAATTAAATCAATAGAATTAAAATAGTACAATTAAAGGACTCTTTAGCTGTGCATTGAAGAACCAAGAAATATAATAAACTCAGTGATATAAAGTATAAAATAAAAATTCTACTCACGTTTTCCAAGTGAATTGGCAAAGTACTGTGGTGTGATTTGTAGATTTTGATTACTGAATCATAAAATGGCGTCTTGTTCTTTAACCTGAAATAAAGCTTGTGTTTCATGTGTTTCTGTTTACCTGGTGACAAATTTCTGGCAGACCCTCAATATTCTGAATCTGTCTCTCGATGCAGCACAGCAGCTCGTTGAACTGGGTCGTGTACAGCCACTCTTTGGTGCCCAGCTTCTTGTACTGTGGCTGTGTGAGGGCAAAACATGATGCATTGCACAGTTAAACATTGTTTACACTTGAAATATTTTCTGCAAATATCTTAGTTTGAAAAGCTGGATTAGGACAACAGTGGAACATCCTGAGTGTTAAACCTGTGCATATTTATTTTATTATAGTGCCAGAATTACATTTCCATAACTGATGTCTTGCTTTGTTCTTTCTATAATTCACACTAAATGCTACTGTTGTGAGTAGCTTGGCTTTGAAAAAGGCCTTTAAATAACTTAATTAAACAAAAATGACACAGCTAAGGTGAAAGAACAGAGGAATAAAATTAATAGAATTTACAGTTTGGTGCAAAAAAACAGGGTTCCCACTCGTTTCAAGAAATAATCCCCAGGACATTTCCAATGACATATGTCTAATGGGCATTGCATCCTAGACTAACAATAATAAGGGTGATAAAATAAATTAAAAAAAAGAAAGAATTAAATGCTGAACTTTTTCCAATTAAAAAAAAAAACGAATTAAATGCTGAACTTTTTCCAACAGCCTTCTGATTTTCAACAAATCCCATAAAAAGACCAATAAGCCATTAGTTCATCTCTCAGTATGCTCTGACTTCCCTGATGGTATACGGTTTTAAAAACATCTCAGTTATCATTTTATTTTAAAAAATAAGGCCCAGTAGTTTTATAAAACAGCTGGACTTTCTAGTTTTTATCAAACAGTAGAGGAAATGGTGCATTTGTTGGGGACTACTTTCTGTGGCGGATGAATCCACATTTGCTCTCTGGTGGTTTTTGAACAGGGTGGGGCTCTGTGGCTCAGAGGAGGGAAATAAATCTGGTAATACTTGTTAGTTGTTGCCTTCATTGTTGTCTCTTCATGAGATTTGTTGACAATCAGAAAAAAAAAATTCTGTAGATGAACTTACCTTGAGTAAAGCATGCACATTCCTTAATAAGTACTCGTGCGCAGACTCTCTCATGTGAGCCAGGATACTCAAACATTTTTTCTGCACAGGCTCTGGGAACAGCTGGCTCCTTTTAAAAAGGAAGTCCCTGCAGAGAAAACACACAAGCCACATTCACTCACACACAGCAAATTTGAAATAGCAAATTTAACACTCAGAGTTAAAATTAACACTCTGTCGGGGTTTATATGGGAACCACTGGAAAAGTGTTAAATTAACACTTTTGAAAGAGTTACAATTATAAACACTATGCAGTGTTACTTAACAAACTCTTACAGTGTAAAATTTTAACACCACAACAGATGACAAGAACACTAAGTAAGTGTTTAAAGTTCACTCATAACAGACACTGATGGAGTAAATTGTCAACACCACCAGAAATCAGGTTACCATCTCATGGTGACAATTTATGCTAAAATAGTGTTGATTACACTACTAATGAAAGCTAAATGGTGCACTTGGATTAACACCATTAAGAGTTAAAATGAATCTTTTAGTGTAACTAACCTATCATCCATGTGCAATAATCACTCCAAAAAAGTACTGCAATGAACAAAAATATTTATTTTTCCTTTTGCAAAGGTATTAAATTTGCCAAAGCAGTGCACAAACAAAAAAAAAACCCTGCACAATGACCTTGTATGGTACAGTACGAACCAAAATTACCTCACTGTTGCCCTATACAATACAGCCATATGGCACAACATAGTGAAATGAGTCTGTACCATAAGACATTTGGATATCAAAGGGCTTGAAGTATTTCAACTCGTGAGGTGATATAACTGAAACATTATGCACTTGGTCAACAACATCAAAAGCATGAAAATGCTCCTCAAATGTACTTTCCATTTCTGATACACAAAAAAACACTTCATTTCTCAGAAGAATACAAACAATCTTACTGAACACTGGCATCTCATGTACAAAATCAATCTTGGCTCCTGTTCATGAATGTAGTTTTAACATCTTTGCCATTAGACTTTTTTGTGCTAACAGAATGTTGTGGATTTACTACAAAGATTTTGTCAAAACTTAATGCTAAATGTAAAGTGTGTAAAGTAAGTGCAATAGGTGCATTGTGCAGCAATCCGTA